CTTTGCTGCCACAGAAGCAGCGGTTCAACCAAAGGAGAAAGACAAGGAGGAAGTAAAAGTGGCACAGGTACTGTATTAGTGCTGCTGTTGTCATATTAATCAAGAGGAAAGTCCCTTCGTGAGTACTTCCAAAACTATCCAAATGATTTACTGAAACGTCAGCAGACATTCATGGTCATCAGAGGATACATCCTACTGATGAGTATCTGTCAGGTTCAAACAGCAGCCAGTCGCTCCATTTTCAGCTTCCTGGAATACAGAAAATTAATATTTAGCCATTGCTGTATTTTTCTGTTCTTCGTCACCTTGTTTCTTCTTTCTCTACCTTCATGATTCATTCTATCTGAAAAACATCCAAAGGTCATGATGCTCTTATTTGCTGAACACTTGGAGTTTTTTTATTTCCAGGCTCCAAGGCTTTCAGCCTCCTCGGTCAGAGAAACAGAGGTCCAACCACAGGGCGGGGAGGAACAAACACTGTCACAGGTACAGCTTTAGTGCTTCTGTCATCGTATATCCATCAAAAGAGGTGTCCTTTGGTTGTCTGAAATACAGTGGATACAAAAAGTCTACACACCCCTGTTCAAATGCCAGGTTTTTGTCATGTAAAAAAATTACATCAAGGTAAATAATTTCACAACAGTTTCCACCTTTAATGTGACTTATAACCTGGACAATTGAAAAACAAACAGAAATCTTTCAGGGAGGTAAAGTAAAAATAAACAACTGAGACAATGTGGTTGCATAAGTGTGCACACCCTTTTAAAACTGGGGCTGTGGCTGTGTTCAGACCAATTATATTCAAACTCATGTTAAATTGGAGTCAGCACACACCTGTCATCAAATAAAGTGCCTCTGATCAACCCCAAAGTTCAGCTGTTCTAGTCGGCTTTTCCTGACATTTTCATAGCCACATCTTCCAGCACAAGCCATGGTCCACAGAGAGCTTCCAAAGCATCAGAGGGATCTCATCATTCAAAGATGTCAGTCAGGTGAAGGCTACAAAAGAATTTCCAAGGAATTAAATATACCATGGAACCCAGTGAAGACCGTCATCATCAAGTGGAGAAAATATGGCACAACAGTGACATGACCAAGAACAGGACGTCCTTCCAAAATTGATGACAAGACGAGAAAAAAACTGGTCAGGGAGGCTGCCAAGAGGCTGACAGCAACACTGAAGGAGCTGCAGGAATTTCTGGCAAGAACCGGCTGTGTAGTACATGTGACAACAATCTCCCGTCTTCTTCATTTGTCTGGGCTGTGGGGTAGGGAGGCAAGACGGAAGCCTTATCTTACAAAGAAAAACATCCAAGCCCGGCTCAATTTTGCAAAAAGACATCTGAAATCTCCCAAACGCATGTGGGAAAATGTGTTCTGGTCTGATGAAACCAAGGTTGAACTTTTTGGACATAATTCCGGGAGGTATATTTGGCGCAAAAGCAACCCTGCTCATCACCAAAAGAACACCATCATACCTGCAGTGAAGCATGGTGGTGGCAGCATCATGCTTTGGGGCTGTTTTTCTAAAGCTGGAACTGGGGGCTTAGTCAGGGTGGAGGGAATTATGAACAGTTCCAAATACCAGTCAGTGTTGGCACAAAACCTTCGGCCTTCTGCAAGAAAGAGGAACTTCATCTTTCATCACGACAATGACCCAAAGCACACGTCTAAATCAACCAAAGAATGGCTTCACCGGAATAAGATTGAGGCTTTGGAATGGCCCAGCCAGAGTCCAGACCTTAATCCCATCGAACATCTGAGGGGTGATCTGAAGAGAGCTGTGCACAGGAGATGTCCTCGCAATCTGTCAGATTTGGAGCAGTTTTGCGAAGAAGAGTGGGCAAATATATCCACATCAAGATGTGGCATGCTGATGGGCTCCTACCCAAAAAGACTGAGTGCTGTAATAAAAGCCAAAGGTGCTGCAACAAATTATTAGTTTAAGGGTGTGCGTATTTATGCAACCAGGTTCTTTCAAGTTTTTTATTTTATATTTTTCCCCTTTAAAGGTTTCAGTTTGTTTTTCAATTGCGTTGTACAGGTTCTAGGTCACATTAAAGGTGGAAAAAGTTGTGAAATTATTTGTCTTACTGTCATTTTTTTACATTACGAAAACTTGGCATTTGAACCGGGGTGTGTAGACTTTTTATATCCACTGTAGCTCAAGTACTGAATGGATTCTCTGAAACTTTTATTAGACATTCATGGTCCTCAGAGGATGAATCGCTGTCACTGCTGCTTGTCTTTGTTTTGTGTCATTGTGAATGGATTCTTTTTGGCTTTGGACACTGGGACGTTTTTTATTTATTGATTTAGAACATAAATCAGGTAATTGCTAATAAAGACAGACGCTAAATTCTTCATCCCGATATAAAAACTCACCCCAGAAAAGACAAAAACAATCTGGCAAGAGTCGGTTTTAGAAATCATTGTCCGCTTCTTGTTTCTCTTCCTGACAGAAGCAGCTGCCAAATTCAACAGATGCTGCAACCACATCGAATCCTGCAGCAGCAGCAGCAGCAGCAGCCACGCTGGAGAAGGATCCCACAGCAGGTGTGTAAGATTGTGGTTTGTTCAACCCAGAGAGCAGATAGTCTGTCGAATCTCTGGAAACGTGGTTGATGGTGACAATCCTCTGTTCCAGCTTGTGAAACTGCCTCAGAGTTCTGCGCTGGTGTGAAGGTACGACTTTAAGCAGGCTTTAAACGCAAAGATGTTTGAACTGAGGGTGTGGGCCCAGTTTGCATTGAGTGTTTGATGTGTTTCAGGTGAAGGATCTGATCCGGATGTTTTCATCAACACAGGAAGCAGTCGTTCAAACCAAAGAGAAACAAAGCCACAGTTAATCTGCTGCAGAACCTACGATGAAGAGCCGTGAACTGGAGAAGCAGCTGAAGTCACCTTTCACCACCAGAGTCCGATCTCCACGTTTTAGCTAAAATGTCAGAACTTTTACTTACAACAGAAGAATGTTTTGGTTGTTATTGCCAAACTATGGGGTTGTACAGTTGACCCAAGTTTTAAATGTTTTGTCTTTGTTTCTGAGAAGTCCTGATCTGGCCTGTGTGACACAACTCAGTCAGAGGTAGTGAGTCCAAACCCTTCAGGGACACTGTTGCAATTTCATGCAAATCACTTCATTGTACACGTCTCGTTTCAAAATTGTCCTAAAAATAATGCATTAAATCTAAAATCCTGCGCTCCTCTGCACAACTGAGAGTCGATTAGCGACTGATCTGTGATTTATTTGTGTTTCCTGTGCATGTAGACAAACTAATTAAACATGTGAGTCGAAAGATATCCATTGTGTCACCGTTTTGTTTTTTGTTTCCAGTATTAACACCTGTGGACACTTGTGGCACATGTGTAATCAAAGAAATTCAATTATCACCTTTCTTTTTGTCATTTATGGCATTCCAGCTGTGTTATGTTGCACGGACGACTTTTGAGTTTTCAAATTCTGGCCACAGTTGTGCTGTTTTTATAAAGTTTATTTGAGCCCACAGTCAGTACAAATGTGAGGAAATGGCCAGAACCTGCTGCTTCCTGAGGGGTAAGGCAGCAGGAAAAGAGGAGCACAGGCTTGAGGGAGGAAGCTGGAAAACGTAGATACAGGCTTGAGCTGGTAGTAGTGGTAGCTGTAGCTGGGACGTTAGTGCTAGGATTTGAGCTTGTATCCAGGGAACCAGACAGGAAGCGAGGAAAGGCTGAGAGGAGCTGGGAGGCTGAGAAGTCGCATGAAACCAGAGCAAAGGGCAGAGTGGTGTAGCTGGAGCAGCTGGTGAAGCTCGGCTCCAACTACAATACTCTGCAATCACACACACAGCAGCAAAGCATGAAGGCCTCTAACCACCTACTTCCTCATTTACGTGTTCGTTTAGAGGGTCTGCTGCATTAAACGCCATCACAAACCAACTCCCAGGCTGCAGACGTGGCTTCTAATAGTAAACCTGCATTGATTGTTATAGTTGGCCCTGACCGGACGTCTGTGTGTCTGAACAGCCTCTAGCTCGAGTGCTAACCAGTTGATATTTTACAAGTGAGCAAGGAATGATTTGATTTGGGGGGTCAGTCAGTGCAAAAACATCTCTGCTAGAAGTCAAAGTTCAGATTTTCCAAAAGGTGTATCGAAGGAAACTCCGTCCCTCTGCTGAGGCCGTCTAGTCGTGTTTGTCTTTATGTAAATGGAAGCTTCATGCAACAACCTCTGCGTTTACTGTCAACTCCTCAAACCAAGACGGACATTAAACTGTACAGATGTCAACAACTTGAAAGTCACTCAGATCCAAAACACCAATCTCTGCACTGTCAAAACAAATAAACCAGGAGAAAAGCTGACAGCGAGGGAGCCAGAAACAAAACGCTTTAAAAACTCTAAAAACTGTCAAAATAACTGCAAAAAAAAAAAAAGGGGAAAATTTTGGCTGATTTGAATGTTACAGCCACACATCGTACAAGAACAAATAAGCACTTGTAAAAATACAGATTTCTACAGTTGTAGTCTGTTCATTCTTACAGTCAGAATGTAAATATGTAGTATAATAAATGTAATGGGGGCTGCAAGGTGACTCGGTGGTTAGAATCGTCGCCTCGCAGCAAGAAGGTCGCCGGTTCGCATCCCGGTGAGGACACCCGGAATCTTTCTGCGTGGAGTCTCCATGTTCTCCCCGTGCAGCGTGGGTTCTCTCCGGGTTCTCTGGCTTCCTCCCACACAGTCCAAAAACATGTTGAGGTTAATTGGTGATTCTAAATTGTCTGTAGGTGTGAATGTGAGTGTGCTTGGTTGTCTGTCTCTAAGTGTAGCCCTGTGATAGACTGGTGACCTGTCCAGGTGAACCTGCCTTCACCCTGAGTCAGCTGGGATAGACTCCAGTGAAAAGGGCGTAATTTTATGGTCAAACATTGTAAAATAATGAATTACCTTCTCTTTTGTGGACATTATTTACAGTTTTACCCCCGTTTTTTTTACAGCTAAAATTTATTAGTTTTTATCTGTCATTGAACAAAAAAGGAAAAGTCTGTAAAATAACCATAAATAGTTTTAAATCACAGA